TTATTAAATCATGCTTTAGCTATTCTACCATTTAAGAAATCTAAAAATGGTGGTGTTTAAACAACTTATAATGCTTTAGCTAAGACTGCTAATTCTTATTAGACAGAAGCCTATAAAAAATGAATAAGATTAATAAAATACCACAATATCATCATGAATTTTAAGATTAGCTGAATAATTATTATTTTCAGTTCTTAATCTATCTTAATAAGCTTTAAGATCAGCTTCTCTTGTAGAAATCATAGTTTAAACATCAGAAATTCTAACAGTTTTATCTTCTCTTTCTTAATAGAAATCAGCATATTATTAATCAAAGACTGCTTTTTCAGCTGTTAATTATTATCTTCTTAATTCATCTTATTATTTTTAACTGTCTTCATCTTTATAAGCTTTAGTTAAAGCATCAAAAATATTTAATCTCAAACTATTTAAGAAATCACACATTTCCTTTAAAACTTATCTATCTTTAAAATTGAATCCTTCAGTTAAATTGGTTAATGCTTAAATGAAAGATGAATATTAATGTCCAAAGTTTTCAGTATTAGCTTTAACTTATCTTAAAGCTTTATTAACTTTATGTTTTTATTCATCTGAAACTTCAATAAAAGCAGCTCTAACTTCTCCAGATTTAAATAGATCAGTTAATAAATCTAATGCTTCATCAATATTTCTAAGTGCATCAGTAAATTCAGTAGTTGTTAATACAAATGAATTATGTTGTGTATTTCTAGCAGCTTCAGCTTCTTAAAATGATTAAGTATTATCTGTTTATTTAGCTTTAAGTCCTAAAAGTATCTATAATAAATAATAATAATAATATACATCATCTAATTCATGAAGTCGTGGTATCAATTCTGAATTTAAAACTTTCTTTTCTCTATTGATATCAAATTCAGCTTAATTTGCTTATGAACTAAGAGATATAACTTTAGCATTATGTTCACTTTCAATAACTTCCCATTAAGTGTTTTCTAATTTCAATCTTTCTTCAATTTATCTACCAAAAGCTTTAACTCCTTCAGTAAGAGAATCAACAGCTCCTGTAACTCTCATTGTCACTTCTGCTAAATCAATTACTAAATGTCCAATCTTTGAAGATGTTAATTCATCAATTTATTATTAAACTCCTGGGTTCACATATTGATCCATTACACCTTAATTACTTTCATTATTTTTTTATTTATTTACTTTTAAATTGTTGTTGATGTGACAAGGTACAACAACATGACCATACTCAAGAATCTTTTCATTAAATTCGTTTTTGTAATTATTGTGTGAATATTTGAAATTGAATAAATTTTGTATATACTAAAATATCATCAAATTAACTCTTCTTCTTTAACTTCTTGATTTTCTTTTTTTTGAACAAAGCTTAGGATTTCTACTGTAAAGAAGAACCAACTGCATCCTCTATACCATAAGGGAAATTTATTTTTCAATCGAGAGAATAATTTGTAGATCTCTTAGTTGTTATCAAAGGCATTGAACAATTATTGCTAATAGGATTTTAATGAAAGAGAGTTTCTTAATTAATTTTCATGTGAAGAAGGTGAGTACATCATAAGGAAATGAATAATAGAAATTTCTGCTAATCTCTCTTCATTATTAATGGATAGAATTTTAGTAATTTCATGTTTGAGTTGAACAAGACTGAGAATAACTCTTTTCTAAACTTTATCTACATTTAGTTTTCTCTATAATTAGATAATATAATTACTTTTAATCTAGTTCCTTCTCCTTGAGTGAAATTGGTGAAATATCCAGTATATATTTCATATTCATTTTAGATATCATACATTTTTCTTAAGGAGTCAAAGTTTTCAAAGATATGATTTAAACATTATAGGGCCTTTTTACAAATGGAGGAAGCGAAATACTATTAATAATTATTTTAATAGAAATCTTCGTAGATATTGTTTTAATTTTCAACTTCAGCCAATTCATTAGGAGAAAAGAATTTATAAATAAATCTAGTGTCTATATTTGGTAAACCTTCTACTTTATATCCATTTAAGATTGGTTGTGGTTCTTGATTAATATATTGTAAGACATCTCTATAGAGTTTACCTAGAATGCTTTATGATTCATAGACAATTGAATCTTTTTCCATGAAATCAGGCCATCTTTTGGAGATTAGATCTTATGGAATATAAACTTTATTGCCATGTTTGACATAATCAACAGCAGTAGAGTGTAATTCAGCTAATCGAAGACATTTAGAATCTTTAGCATAATCAATAGAACTATCAGCAAAGGCAAGATGACTATTATCAATTTTACCAAGGACATCAAAATTAAGATATTAAAGAAGGAAATCAGTCATTTTATCTTCTTAAAAGAATTCTTCAGAAGAGACATATCCTTAATGTTAAACTTGATTAGTAGATGGTTTTTTTTCTTCATCATAAATCATAGAAGGATATAGTTCTTTTGGAATAATTTAAGGATCCCATGAAACAAAATAAATATCTCCATCAAGATCTCCTCCAGCACATTCAGCAGGAATGGAATTGCCTTTACATGGAAATACTATACAATTATAGTATTCTTTAAATGGATTCTTATTATCACATCTAGTTAGTATTTCATTTTATGACAAGGCTCTGACTTTTCTAATATCTCCAGGATGTAAACAAGGATTCCTCACAACTATTATTTCACCTTCCACATACATATGTTTTACATCTTATGCTTCCATTACTATACATACTACCTCTATTATTAATAATTAAATTATAATTATACCTCCTTCATTTAATACATCATAATCATCAATTACACCTAAAACTCTAGCTGCTTTATCTATTAAAATATTGCATTTAGTTCTTAATTACATAAGACCTCTTCTTTTTAATCTATCTAATACTCTTTTTATAAAGATATTGTTATTTTCATTTAAGTTTGAATTAATCATCAATCTTATATTATCTATAATTGATGGTAATCCTTACAATTCTCCATTGTATTCTACTAAAAAGTGTTTATATATTGATGAATCTTTTGCAGATACATTTTAAATCTTATCCAAATATTCTATCATTATTTATTACTTTAATACCTTTCTAAAATGACATGAATACATCATCTTCTATACCCAAAGTTACTAATAATATAATTATTTATCTATTTAGATATCCACCTCTAAATTTATTATAATCCAATAATGATATCATATTCGTATATTTACCATCATTCATTAAACTAGGATTAAATTTAACCATACTCTTTCTTAATTCTATTGTATTATCAGTTAGATTATCATTTAACAATAACACACCTTTTGCTCCATGTAATCTAATTTAAATTGCTGATATATATGGATTCTTCATTATTACTCTTATCTAATGTATTAAATTTTTGGATATCTTCCCTATACCATCAGTATACAATTTTCCATTCTCTCCCATTTTATCATCAATTCCAGTAATTATATTTAATTCACTAAATTCAATTGATTTACTTGAACTAAAATTCTATCCTAATCTTGCTGCATTTTTAGCAACTTAATCTACATTTAATGTACTAAAATTTCCGATTGAATCTATAAAATTTTATCTTGTTATTTAAGCTTTTTTATAATTAAATATCCAACATGATCCTCCTCTCAATTAAGAAGCACTCCATGTTAATAATCTATATTATTCATCAAATAAATTCATTCCATTTTTCAATTTTTATTTAAAATAATAATCTGTTATAAAATAATGTCCATGAATTGCCTCCATATTTTCATCCTCAAAATGTAATCTTATAAAATTATTCAATTAATCATAATACTATCTAATTATTACACTTGATTCCTCTGGTAATTTTATATTATATAAATATCCAGATGGTGTCAATGAAACTCTCTTTATCATTGCTATTCTCTTATCATCATCTTTATTTAGTAAATTTATCACATCTTCATCGCATCTTTATAAATCTCTGTTAAATAATAAATAATTCTTTTTATTTAATTCTGATTGTCTCACTGAAAAATTCAAATCTACACTATATCTAGAAAATAATTAAAATGCCATTTCCAATACACGTTCTCTTCTATCATCATCATCTTATTAATTCAATCTGTATTCACATATCTTTGATATCAATTATTTTAAATAATTTATATCACTTATCCTATTCTATGATACAATACATAATATATTATATTTCTATTCAAAACTTAATTTACTATTCTCTAACATTTTCTATAATTTATCTATTTCTTCTCCTCTACTCATTCCCTCTTTAAATTCTACATCAATTTCATCAGAAAGCAATAAGTTATATTACATTAATTTATTCAACACCATTTTATATGTCATCTCTTCTTTTGAACCCTATTCTATAATAAAATTTGCTTTTATTATACTATTATTTACCATTATCAATCTTTCAATCTCATTCTTATGTCTATTATAATATGCATTTGATAATATGTTATCCACTCGAATCCAATCCTGTTACACATTAAATAATTCAAACTTTCTTTTTGTATTCAATGAAATACTATAATTTGGAGGACATAACAATTTAAAATACATTGTTTTACCAAACTTATCTGATATTGCATGACAATATTAACAATTTACTAAATCTACTTCTATTCTTAATAAAAATTTATCCAAAACATTTATTACAAATTCCACTCTTCTATATAATTTTGAATCATCACAATGAAACATCATATAAACTTACATCTGTCTTAACTCATTTTGTAAATCTGAAAATCTAAAATAATTAACCATAAACAATTTAAATGGCTTATTCAAATTATCATCAATTGAGATGTCTTTTAAATACTCTCCTTATAAATAAGAAAATGTTAAATCATACAATTTAAAAGGTATCTTACCCATTTTTACAGAATAATCCATACATTACAATTTATCATCTACTATTTATGCTTTTGAAAAATTAATATATACAGGTTATTGTGAATCCAAATTTAAATGAAATTGGAAATTTAAGAGATTATTTAAATACTTTTTCTAAAATCTTAAAGTAACAGTAAGAGGACTATCTAATTTAGAATCTAGAGGTGCTTCTTCAATATTATAAATTTGAATTTCCCATTTAGATACATTGTTTAAAGCCTTCTCTAATTTTTAAACCATCTAATTGATTTCTTAAATTTTATTGATCTTTATTCTTTTTTTGGTAGCATCAATTAGTGTAACATCACTTTAATTTTCTGTTTAATCTTAGAAATTATCAAAAGTTTCTTCTACTTCATCTTCCTCATAATTTATTTAATTATCAGAAATATTGTTCTGAGTTGATAAAAGGCAATCATGAAAGAAATCTTTATCATTATCTATAAGTAATTCTGATAAGAATTCATTATTTTTGTAATTGTTAAATTCAGGATCACTAATGATTTTACCTGAAAAGTCTTCATCCATGACTTGAGTCCTAAATTCAACTCTCAATACCTAATTAGAAAAATATATAATTTTTTACTTTTATATCCCAATCCTTATATTATCTATCAAACTAATTTTAAAGGATCTCCATTATTTTTCTTGCTGTAATCTATCCTAAAAACTATTATGATAGATTAAGTAATGCAGGCTTAATAATGAGATAATCTTCATCAGAAAACTTTGACAGAACTTCTCTAACCTATTGAATTATAAATTATATATACTTCTGCAGATAAACTATCCTTAATTTTCTTTTTTGTTTATTATTCCATTTTAGAAAAATATAGCTTAATTTAATAATTAATGAATATATAACATCATTAAAATGAATAATTAATATTTTGTTACTCTTACTTCCCTTGCTTCTTTCTTTTTTTTTTAATAATACAAGCAACATCTAATCAATATAAGCACAAATATTAATTATTTAGTTAATCATCATCTGAATTCAAATATTTGAATCAATGTATATATAATAGAAAAAGCCTAACGCTTAAGAAAAAGTTGATATGTATAACATTACTATCTCTTGGAATTCTTTTTGATTACATAATACAGATTTTGTAATGAATAACATTTTATATTTATGAATTCTTGTTGACTTTATTGCAATTTTCATTATATTTTTTCACAATATTAATTTGATTACATGCAAATAATGTTCTATATTCATATAGAGATGATATTATCAAATTTAATGTAAATATAATATGTTATCATTTTTTACAATAAATTATATAAATTATATAAAATGGTAATCAATTGCGTAATTTATTGGATATTATTGCAATTTGTTTATAGTTGTTCTGTAAGATTGTTATATAATCATAGAATAGAAACCAATTGATCTAATATTCTTATAATGTTGAAAATTAACCAAATATCATTCCTTTAGGATTGCTTTTCAATGGTTCTGCATTACAATTTAGCATTGTTAATAATACCATTATACCAAATTATCAAATATTTTAGTCAGTCGATTTATTGAAAACTTACAATAATACATTTACTGTTACCTAAGTAATTTCAAATTCTCAATTCCCTATAATCTCTAATACTTAAGTTAATATATAAATAATTTTCCTAACATTAACAAATCCTTACAATTATTCATTGTTCATGACAACTTGGGAATCCAATTCCATAATTTCAAATAACTAATTCTTAGTAAGTTTTAATTATTAAAATTGCAATAAAATTGTTCATTTGAATCAAAATGAGATTGTAATTCTCTGTTAGAATTAATTAGTTTTGTATAGCATGATATCAAAATTGATATATAACACATAAATAGTTCTACCAACATTTACAATTAATTACTATTGGCTAAAGGCAATTAATGATGGTATTTATTATTAATTAATCTTAAGATACTATATATGTTTCTTTTTCTGATGGAATCTCTAATTTTATATCCACTGGTTATGTTATTAATAATGAGCATTTTGTACAATCAAATGTTATAAATTACAATGGTATAGTCACAGGATTTGAAATCTATTCTAATAACACGTATTTTATTTTGAGAAATTCTATACTGTCATTTATCAATAAGAATAGTCAAATAAATTGCAATATTACATTCAGCTCTTAATCTTTCATGAGTATCTTTTCAGGACTCAACAAATTAGGATAAGCTCATTTCTATATTGGAATAATTAACGAATCTACATTAATTCAATTTATTTATAATTCTGACAATTCCTAATTCTCTTAAACATTTTAATAATCCTTTTTGTCCGCAAATTTTAATCAACAACCAATCATATTTAATGATTAATATTACTTTGTAATGTTAAATGGATATTAAATGTTTGTATTTAATGGATATGAAAATAAGAAAATTAATATCTCTCCCCTATATTACTAAAGAATTCCTTAATTATCTTCAATATTGTATATTGCTTACTCAAATTAAATTTTAATTTAATCTCTGACTTAGACATCTCTTAATTAAATAAATCAACCTATTTTGGTATTTGATAGCCCAAAATTAAATATCTCATAAATCTTTAATTATACTATTCAGGCAAATGGATCTCTTGATTTATTTGATTATTGTTAATAGAATTTCACACAATAATCAATATCCTTTACTTTCAATCAAGTTCAATAGTATCAAAATTGTTCTCAAATCAATGAAACATTGTATAATCCACAAATTAAACAAATTGATGTTGGATATTGTGCATTGGGACCAAATATTACTTATTCAGCTGGAACCTTTATAAATATTGAAGGATTAGGAATTGATACTTAAATTGGATAATTTGCAGTCAAAGTTGATGAATTATAACTCTTCTTTTAGGAGTTGTCTATTTATTAAATCAATTCTATATATACATTTTAGAGTTATCCAAGATAATTTACATATTTTACATATTTAACAAATCCATTCAATAGTAAACAATACATTTAACTAATTTAATTTAATGATTATGAAGTAGAATACTAAATTTGTGATAAATGGATATGTTAAAATACAACTGTTATTAATTTAGATTATTAGTTGACAATGTCATAAATAGGGGTAGATATAAGTAAGAAAGAGAATTATATATTATTGATAACAAATGCTGCAACTTCATATCAATTGTGTATTTATTAATTTTAGAACTTGCAACAAGTAGATATATTAGTATTAGATGTTGCTATAGATTTGAAAATTGATCCAAACTTTTCAATTTAATAAATAATGCTATCAGGCCCTTATTTATATATAATTATTGATAATCCAAATTAATTGGTCATTTATGACATATATAATTTTAATTTAGTTGAGTTTAATGCTACTAATTTACAGCCAAGAAAGTTGGAATAAAATTATGCCTCTTATGCAGATTATATCTTTTTGGACAACACAATTAATCTTGTCATTTTTTAAATGGTAAATGGTTAATTTACAATTGGGACTACTATTCCTTATCCTAATAATACAATTAATGTAGCAATAGGTTTACTCTAAAATGGTGTATATATTGCACTCTATAGCAATACAGGAGAATCTTAATTGTATTATTATTCTAGATAATTTTTATTTTAAAGAATCATTAATACGTAATATATTATTTAAATTCCCTTATACAATGCTTAATTTATTCAGCCTATGATAAGTTCTTTTAGCTAGTAATACTTCTATATTTAAATGTTGATGCCAGATAATAGTATTTAACTTTGTATTTTTAAGTCAGATTATAATTTGCTTTACTTAACTTATTATTTTACAGAGTAATATTATTCAATTAGTGTAATTTCAGTAGATACATTATATAATTATGATTTAATTGGGTTTTAATCTGTCTTATAATTTTCAATCCTTTAAAACTATTGGCAAGTTTCAGTAATTTTAAACTCTGAATTTTTGGTGCCTGGAATTCAATTGTTGAAGAATACATAAATTATGCTGACTTGTTCAAATAATTATTTAAAAGACTATGTATTTTCATTTCCAGTATAAGTCAATAATCTGTATTATTAAATCTAAAGAACAAATGAATATTATCAAACTGTGAATTAGACTAATGAATAATTTTATATTATGGTAAATCCTTTAGACTATTTTTCAGGATCCATAATATATTACAATGTAAGATCTAAAGGAAGAAACACTGCATTTATAAGTTAATTTATAATTGATTAATATAATCATTTTGAACCGACAATAAATAGTGCAGCTTATTCACAATAAAATGGTTAAATATTTGCCATAAATAATGAATATGCAGTTTTTTATAATATTGGAGAAAACTAAACAGAGATTTTGTATGAATACAATAATAATCAATATACAAATTGTCCCTTCATATTTGTAGAATATTATGCTTAGTAACCAATTTCATTTTGTACAAATATTACAGATACTTATGCTTATTTAGGTGCCTTTTGGATCTATTCATTAAAAAATCTAACAGGGACAGCAATGCCTAATTTATTCAATGCATATTATCTGAATTATATTTTGATAATGGGATTCAATTAAAATTCTTTATCGAATTGTTTAATAATAAATACTTACTATGTTACTTGGAAGGTGGATACAATAGAAATGAATTTAATTGAATAGACAGAAAATTGTGTTTATTAACTCTTCACATTTACGATGTTGAATATCAATACAAATCCATAAGATTTATTAGCACTTCAATGTGCAGGTTGGATTGGAATCACAGATGATATATCTACTTTTCCATTTCATTACAATTGTTTCAATTTCTCAAATCTAACAGAAGTAAATATCTATACGCCAAAGTAACTTTTTATATAATCTATACTTTCTAATTCAATTTAATTAGTTTAGATTTCTTAAATTGGAAACCCTGTTATTTATTCCAACTATTCTGAAATAACACTTTTATTTGGTAGTCAAAATAATGCATATGCATTTATAGTTTTAGTTTATTAAGATAGTGTTAAAATTGGAGATTAATTGCTTATATTTTAATAATTTAGTAATCAAAAAGCCATTTAAACAGTTAGTGGATATAATAGTTAAGGTAATTTGACAGTGATTTCAATGTTTTCTTAATAAGTAGGATCCCAAATATTTCAAACTTTATGCATGTATTAACCATTCAATTTTAATTTTACTGGAAAACTAAAAATAATAGAATTTCTATATTGTCGAACTTTACATTATTCAGTACCATATACTCAGAAGTATTCACCCTTTTTATTTTTTATGATTCAAAATTTGATATTAACCAATTAACATATGCTTATTATTTCTCAAGAACTTTAAATATCTGTTTATGCTTTACCTCACTCTGAAAGTTTTATATATTTAAATGCTTCAAATTTTGACTCATTTCAAAATTTAACGATAAATATCATTTAAATTGATTTACATCGTTCTTATACTGGATGGATTTTATTTTCTATATTGCTGGTACTATCCATAGCAATAATATGGGGTTATCAATATATTAAGAGATTACGTAATGTTAATACTGATACTGAAAATTATATTGAATTATGAGATATATAATAATATTTTGAATGAATATTTTCATTATTGTATTGTTCAATTTCCAAAACCTGAGGCTTCCTTGAAATTTCTCATAACTTAATTATCAGAATTGTTATCCCATTAAGCTAATTCGATTCTTTCTTACATTTTGTTTAAGGTTTCTTTAAGCATATCTGCAAACTCTAAAGACATATCATCAATCTTTTTTCTTAATTCAGCAATATCCTAATCTTTCTTCTTGAGTTTTTCCTCATAACTGCCTCGATAATCTGTAATCTATTATTCTTTGGTTTCTAAGTATATTTTATTAAGTAAGTACTAATAACTTCGTCTTTCTCTTTGACAGTCGCATTCAATTCATTAATATCTTTAAGTAATTCATCTTGCATTTACTTATATTATCTATTCATATCTGTACTGATATTGAATAATTTTTCTTTCTCTCCTTTAAAATCTTTCTCTAAACTTAAATATTTTTGTTGTAATTGCATCTCTTATGTTTTAGATCGATCAGCTCTCATTTGTTCTTCTACTATTCTCATTTGCATTCTTTTAGCTTCAAAATCCAGCATTGTAATTTTGGCAGCGTTATTTTATGCTCCATCATCCTTCTATTTTTTGGGAGGCATATTAGTTTATATATATTATTATTATTTAATAAATATATATATAAATATATA